GCGATATGCTCCTGAACCGGGACGAACTCGACCCATTTTTGAAGCGAATGGTGACTGGCGACGAAAAATGGATCACAGATCATCGAACAAAACGGCGCATATTTTAACTAAATCCGATCACTGTAACACTTTTTATAAAGCATTGAATGAAGAGCAAAAAAGCGGAAGGGAGATATTTGACAACATTTACTTTTCTTACTTTTGCCACCTTAGAAGCACTGCTTGGAACAAATATTTTAATAGATCCATACGTGCATTCAATATTATAGCATCTGCTTAGAAGATAACACCATAAATAATTAAAAAATCTCCAAGTTGAAAATTTCATAAGTGTCAAGATCAAATATTTCTGAGTAAAAAAATTTCCCCAGCACGAATATACAACTTTCTCTCCGACTAAACATCAAAATGGCGCTCACTCGTTACCAAATTTTACTGAGTTTTTGGCTCAACGAACACGATCCAGTGAAGTTTGAAAAAAAAATTGCTGCTGCCCATCAGGTCAACGAACAAAACTATTGTCTTTGATTGTAGGAAAGTGACGGCTTTCCTCATATTTTCCAGCAAAAATTGCTACATCGAACTAGGTCTGTAAGAAAACCGAAATTTCATTAAATCACAACACGCCGAGAAAAACGAAGCGAAAGGGGAAACGTGCTGCGTTTAAGCAACAAATAAATGAGAAAAATACTCCATCTTGAGCGCACTTTAAACGAAGAAGGAACACATATTGCAAAAATGTCTACACGTGCTATGAAAACATATGTATAATATAATATATACAAGTGTGTGTGTGTGTATGTATAAAGACATATATATATATATAGGTACACGGTTACTGCGCTTATGAACACTTTGTTAGCAAAACGCTATCAAATGAGTACATATAAATTTATTGCCATACCCTCATGCTCTACGCGCTGCCACGACACCCCGTTCTTGGTTTACTGTCCGCAATATGGCATGTCGAAAGTTAAAATTGATTGGAGTCTCGTTGCGTTGCCACAAAATCGATTTCCAGTTACCTAACAACTTCAGGCAATTTTCTAAAAAGGAAATCACAGAAAGAGTCAAGGAAACGAACCCTCGATACCTGCATACATACAGATGTACTTGTATTTATATATGCACCTTGTACATGGTACCACGCACGCTAGTTGAAGAGTGTCGATGCCTTGATGCCTTATGCGCATACACCTCGGCCGTTAGTCGTGTGAGCAGGTGCATGTGTGTATGTATGTATGCCTAGAAAACACATTGCACTCACAAGATATACGCACATCAATATGTATGTAATGAGGTACGAGTATATTTAGATGGTTGTATGCTAGAAAACATCGCCTTATTATGTTCATATAACCACAACAATAGCTTTCACCGTCGTTGCCAATCGAGCTATCAACACCGGAAATTCATCGATTGTTTTTCACAAGAAACGCATTTCCGTCACAAACAAACAGACGAACACAATAGCTTACATGGGCGTTCAACTGTATGTGCCTGTATGTGTTGTCCTTGCCTATGCGACTTTTATTACCATTTTGAATTTAAAGCTTTAAACGCAAATAGCCAGAGTCCTGAGGGTGCACGCTTGGGGAGAGAATGGTGTCAACTCTAGCATAGCTCGTGAGGCTAGTGAGGCTCGTGCAGTTCTCGAGCTCTGATAAAACTTGGACCAATGAATAAAATTCTTTACACTCTTCCTCAGTTTATTACAGCCTTCAACCGAAACCTGGTTATCACCCGCCGCTCCATTTCGATTTGGATCCTCCGATTCAGCGCAGTGACGTTCATTGATATGGCCATCTGTAAGAAAGCCAGCTGTGCAAAGCATCTTATCATCTCCTTTTTCTTTATTAGCATAGAAACCGCCTATGCTATTATAACCGAGTTAGCAACACGTCGACATGCCCTAGTCAGCGTAGCCGCTGTCTCTTATTATGTCAATGTCGGGGAGATCATCGTTCCATCGGTTGGTGTATTTGCGTTGCCAATACCAAAGCGCAAAGCGCAAAAGTCGACAAATCGTTTGTTGCCCTTGCGAGGTAGGGGTTCAAGAATTTTTTCGCGGTAAGGCATGCCTGTCGTAAGAGGCGACTTAAATTTAAAAGTTCCCGTGGCAATCGGATCCTTATATCGGAACGGTTGCGGAGCGGTCTCTACCGATTCCGATGGGGCTTTTGGTGTTGTTCAGCGTCAGCTTACGCATCTTTATCAGTTTTTCGGGGATACCAAAATCAAACATAGAAACGTTGTTTTCATTGTTCTACAGGCGGGTAATTGCCTGTTTTTTAATTCCATCGTCATCGATTTAGCCATCTCCTGGTGTTTACATTTCACTGTCATTCAGCAGGCTGGGGAGCTGCTCATTACGGAAACTCCATACACTCTGGGCATCAGTCGTTCGATCACATCTTTAGGTTATACATGCTTTGGTCTTCAAACTTTCTATTAGTCAATCATTACATCTGTCGGTCAGCTTCCCAAGGTTTTCATACTCATGCATTTCGGCCTACCGTTTATTTCTGTTCGCAAATGCAGCTCTCAGTATTTCTCCCACACTACACGCGTTGCATTGAGAGATAGACAGTCTATTTTATATCCACTGCAGTTCGACTTGCCCGTAGACGGTTTTCTCGACATGCGCTACGTAAGGGACTTGAAATATTTCGTTATATCAACTATATAAAAGACATTCTCTATTATCCTTAAAGCTGTTGAAGTCTAAAATAAAGCTACAAACAGTTTGAAAATAATTATTTACACCCGCCATCCTGTACACACACCAATGAACACAACAACCAGTGGCGCTAAAACTGTGCCGTTACGATACAACAAAGGGGAACGTAAGATCATACGCTCTGGTTAAATTTAAGCAGAGACCGTATACCAATATCTTGCACGTTCTCTGGTCCCATTATATGTGGCAACTCGACCTAATCAGCTGTTGCCCTTATCTCAGTATGTATGTATTTTTTCGTAATCTTCTTCTACATTGTAGTTAATTATTCGTTGTAAAACGTCAAATACTGAAAATACAGCAACAAATGAGCGTGTACAAAGCCAATGCTCTTCTCACAAAGAGCGCTCTTAATATAAGAAGTTCACCACTATTAACTCTGGGGGAGAAAAATAGAGAATGGCAAGTTAATACTAGGTGTCGTTGCCGCCATTGCTTCTTTATCGCTGGATTTTATTTTCACTTGACTGACTGCAGACAAATGAAGCCACTTATAGCATAGTTAATTATTTATTTTTAACTTTTAAAACTATACTATTAGTTAAATACATTTTTTTATTTTTAAAATACGATCGTTACTTCAAAATTAATTGATTTTTATTGTATTTTTCTCTTTTTCAAGTAAACATTTCTTTAGCGATTCTCCATAATCGAGTACCGCATGCTTAAACCGAAGATCTTTTAAATTTTTGAAGACCGTTATGTTAGAAAAAATAATAACATTGGCTACTAAATAGACATACTTACAAAGTACTGAATTGTATAATGAAGTACATTAATAAAAATTACTTTACTTTTGAACGCAGAATGAACAAGAAATAGCTAAAAAAAAAATAACGCTTTTTAATTCTTTGCGATTCGGAATAACATTTTTGAAGTTAGACTTATTTACGTTTATATATTGCAGATTTGCTTAATATCATGCATATCTCAGGATATTCGACGCTTAAGCAAAATTTGATAAGCTACATATAATATTAAAAACAGTAAATTAACTTACAATAAATATTTGTTTCATCTGAAGAAAACTAAATACATAGATATTTCTTCAGAGAGAAGTTTGGTTAAACAGCGAACAAATATGAATCATAAAAGTAGTTATTGTAGTATTATAACACAAAACAACAAGATTTCAATTTCAGCTCACGCTACTTCGGGTCATATATAGGAAAACTTTGTGTGTCATTACATTTCCCATCTGGCAGCATTAACGACACTTGAAAATGCCGCTCTCCGGGCCAATACGCTCATACGCTCACCCAACCATTGGCCCATTGCATTTTGTATTCTATTGGGTTTTGACAGTTTGCACTTTTATCCACAAATAAATATCCACTAGTTGAGAAGTTCTCTGCATTCGAGCAGGTTGGTTGAATTGTTAATATTAAATAATACGTAAATGGTTTTTTACCTCCCACAGTGCGCAGTGGTTTTCTTGCTGTTGTAATTGTTCATATAAATTCTTCTAAACACGTCTCTACTGATTATCCACCAAAATTACGTTACAACAAAAACTACAAAAATTATTTATACGCGACAGTAGACACAAAAGCGAAGCTAGCTTATCGATTAGTTTTCCAACGGCAGCCAACGAATGAGCTGAGTGGAAAATCTCTTTGCTTTGATGGTTGGTCGGCAATTGTGTTTTGATAGAAGAAAAAAAGTCTTAAATAATAATAATAATGTAGAGGAAAAAGTGCAAAAAAGTTATTATTGTTGTTTTGTGTGCGCGTGGACGTAATTGGCATCAATTTGTGAACGTTTAGCAGGCGAAGAATTCGAGGTGTTCGGTTTCTACACTTCTAGCGGCTGCAGTGGAAAAGGTCTGAGAGTGTTTTTCTGTTTTCAATGTACCTCTATTAGTATATGTGCTTCTTTTAAGGGCAGAGGAAACAAAAAAAAATAAATCACAATATTCATTTTTTATAAAATAATTGTTGAATAAAAAATTTTTTACAAAGTGCGAATTTTGGTGAGAAAATCGAATTGGCTATTTAACGAAAAATTAGCAAACAACAAAGCATTGCGAATTGCTAGCGACGACAAGTGCAAACAACCAGCAGAAATAACCAACGTATGCTGGGCAAACAAAGCAAAGTGAAAATTCCAGTGAGACAAAAACAAGTTGCGCGAGAGAAAAATCAACAAATACAAGAATTAGTGTAAAATATTAAAATATTAGTGAATACATGGTTGAAGTATAAAATATAAAAAATAATAAAAATGTCTTATTTATAGTGCAACAACGAATTATTTTTATAAAGAGAAATTGTTATCTCATAACAAAAAATTCACTTCAAACTAAGCAGATAAAAGCAAACGCGGACGCCACTTCGTTGCCGCTGTCGCCGTCGCTACCTCTGCCTCTGCCTCTGTCTCTGCCTCAATTGCAGCATTAACAAAAATGTGGATATCATCCAACAACAAATACGGCGTTGGTAAGTATACACTGGGAACGCGCCCAAAAGCCGACTACTCTCACACGCCAGGCGGTCACTGTCAACCCCCAGGTTGCAGGTGGTGCCGATTATGGCGTTGATTGTGGTGGTCGATGGAAAACAACCACCCATATGTAGACTACTCATCTTTTGTTTTTTTGTTTTGTTTTTGTTTTTGTTTGTGTATGTGTAGTGACTCTGTGAGCGCGAATATGTGTAAGTGTATTTGTGTTTTTCTTTTTTTTTTTTCTTTTTGTGGTGAGTAGTGGGGGGTTGTGTGGATATAGTGCATCTGTTATGGAATCGTACGTATGTACTTACTTATATGCATACATAGTATGTATGTAGTATATGAATATATTGTGTGTTAACGTGCGGATTTTTACGGTGAATCACGTTTGCTTTCCGCGAATCAGTGACGTTGAATGCTGATGAGGCGCGTCTGTCTTTGCAGCCACGGCCCCGGAAAAGCGTTCAGTCATCAGCTTTTCATCTTCCGCCCACGCATTTCTATGATTTTTCGTTCTGAAATTATATGCTTTTTTTGGTCTTTTTTTCTTTGCTTCTTCTCTCTGTAGTATTTGATTTTATTATTATTATTTTTTTTTGCCTTATTAGAACTATTTTGTTTTCTCTACGCTTTGCTGTTGTATGCTGTAAGCTAATATGGAAAGGTAAACATCGCCCAGGCATTGTTTTGCACTTTCAGCATCTCATACATAACTACGTATGTACATATGTATCTACTCTAACAGCTGGAAGATTCTATTTTAATAATTTATTATAATTTTTGATTTCATTTAGCGAATATTTCGTTGCTGATTTCATAATTTCTTATTGACGCTGATAGATCTGCGCTTCATATATACGTATGTATGTGTCTATATGGGCTTGTAGATGGAAATAATTTCAGCTAGTCGAATTCTGCCAAAATATGGTCTGAAATATGCCAGATGGTTGAAACCTGCAGCAAACACCTATGCAAAGTTAAATAGTTAATTTCTATGGACCGAAGTTTAGAATTATATTCAAGTTCCTCCTCTCGCTCTGAATTTTGGTTGCTGTTATTATAGCGAATTCGGACTAAAGCGAAAGAGTATAATACCTCTGAGTATCTGTGAACATCCAAAGTTGTTTTTAGTTTCGTGCGTGGACACATTGAATACCAGACTTGATAGGTAGGAGTTATGATTACTACAGTATTACCCGAATTTCAAGTGCTGCCTTTGGTGGTAAAGAAGATTCCAAAGAAGCCATTCACTGGAACAGAGTTGATGAATGTGTTGACGGACACTCTAAATGGCGTTTAAGGCCTGCCGGTAGAACATACATGTAGCGGTTTTCTTACAAATCGATAGTCGATAATCGGCTTTCTCGCTGTTACGTCTGCGGGGAGGTTCTGGTACATTCCATCTGGTACTGCTTGTACATGCGATGCTCAAACATTGTAATAACTTCACCTACTCCCCACACGTCCCGGTGACCAAATTGGTGCTGCCCTGGCTGCCGACTTGAGAGTTTTGCTTGCAGCTCGTTACGGTCGTATGAGAAGTGGACGAGTGTGGGCTAGCGATTGCCACTATCCGAAAAGAAGTTAAATATCCCGACCGGCCGCCAAGGTCAATCAGCCGTTTCTATGCACCGAAGTGATTTATCTCGCCTGGGTTAATAGATAATGTTCCAGTGAAATTTGATCACAGGATCAACCGTATAGTCCTGACGCAAGACGAGTGGACAGTATCATTATGAGGGGGTCTTAAGTTGCAGTCCTGCCCCGACCAGTATCCAAAGATATTGTAATATAAGAAAATTAAGTTAATTTATCTAATTGCGGTCGCATTTGGCTGGGAGTGTCAACTACTCCAAATGTATTTCTGATGTAAAATAAAGTAGCTTCTCATAAAAATGCATCTGTGTAAACTGTAGGCTCCTTCATTTGTTGGAAAAAACATCAAGAGCTCGAACAAAAATCGATTCAGCGGTTAAAACCCCCCGTGCTTCTGGTGCCTTTATTTATCTCCAGAAAAAACAGTTGTGATGCAAAATAAATTAAACCATTTCTCAAGTCTCTCGAAGAAAGGCAGATGCTATCCAATTTTGTATACATATATAAAAAGGTGTATTTATATCCTAGTACGAGGGTTGTCTTTTATATTTTAGGATTTGGCAACCCTAGTGCTGCAATCTGGCAATGGCAACGCAAGTTTGACATGAAATACTCATCTCGGCCAAAAAAAGGAATTAAATCGCGAACACTTTCGCGCGAATTTTTTATTTCCAATTTTCCACGTGGATTAACACTCGATGAAACTCCATCAAGGGCACACAGTGGGCGACTGTATGATGAATACAACCGGAGTCATAGGTCACTCTGAGATGAATTTTGTGAAGATAATGAGACCAGCATACATTCAAGATTGCTTGAACGTTTGACCTAAAAAAAATTTGTTCACGTTAGATCCAATACAATTCGTCAATCGCTCAATAAAAGACTAGTTTCCAATAAAGGTCGAGTGAAATTTAAAAAGAAATCATGAAAACCAAACACCGAAGACGGATCGCTCTTCACTACGACAATGTGAGCTCCCATCGTCAGCACAGGGACTAAAGCAGTTACATTCTTGAGCACTGAAGAATACATCGATTTGATGAGTCATGAGTCAACTACCCTATAGTCCTCAATTGACACCCAATAAGTTGAGACGTCAACATTTTTCGACACCTTAAGAAGCAACTGATGCATTCAGAAAGCATGTTTTGGAAATACCTCCACCAGAGTGGCAAAAGTGTTTCGGGAATTCATTCAAGAACATGCAAAAGTGTATAGAACTTAAGGGAAAATATTTTGAAAAAAAAAAAAAAAACTAAATCGATTTTCGATTATTTTTATTTCTTTTTGTTCTCTATTCCCGAAATATTAAAGGCAACCCTCTTATAATGGCAATCATACAGTCAGTACTTTATTTGCGGAAATCAATTAATATTTAAATGCATCATTCATTCGGGATGTACATAGTATATATGTATATGTACATAAGTATATATGTAAATGAGTATATAATCAATAAAAATTGCGTTTACATTAACAATCATTATCACTTTATTCACTGTGTGGGCAATCAATCAAGAAAATGTTGTACATACATACCTACATATGTATATACGAGTATGTATGTACATAAGGGTACTTACTCGTCATTAAAGCACTTTAATCGGAAAATAGTAATGCATTTTATATATGATACAAATATAAATAAATGTTTTGATTCATTAAGTACTCATTGACCCGCATATGTTTGTTCGTAGAAATGTAAATAAATGACTTATCGCTTGCTTTAATTGCCGACAAATTATTACTGGAAGTACGAGTCGCATATGGATTGATAAGCAAGTGGAAGTCACAATACTCATATAACAGATTACAACAAATGGAGTTGATAAATAGTGCTCTGTGTGTTGAGGGGAGTCACCTTTTTATGATGTTTTACAAATTTCATTTTGGTTTCAGTTTACTGCCAAAAGTACTTGCTTCAAGTTGAAGTCAGTGCAATCAGCGTTTACAGACTTTTTTTTTAACTCAAAAGAGCTCGAATTACTATAGTGTACAAAACTATTGTAGGGTCCCACACAGATAGAAGGGTGATCTCAAAAAATAAAAATTGGTTTGTATAATTGATTTATCTAAAGCGCATCAAAGCGCATGGTGAGCCTACACTATGACATAAGCAAGGGATTACGGTGTTACAAGCGTTTCCCAGATAACCGTTAATACGTTGAAAATAGCGAACGCCTACGACGCCGCAGCATGTCTAGAACCGAAGAAAATACGTAAAAAGCTTAAGAACTAGTTATAAACGCTCCAGGAATCATAATCAGAAAAGTCACTGATGGCTTATCGAATGGACCATGTCATGACATTTTTCACATAGTTTTGGGTATGAAACGTGTGACAACAAAACTTGTTCCAACAGATGATGAATCATGTGTTTTCGGATATGACGTCGAAACTTCGTGAATTTTTAGGCAAAACAAAACCCCTAACGGTATGTGACAGCAGTCGTAGACGCATAAAAAATTTTTATAAATTTATTTGGTAGAATTTGGCGATGAGCTCCGGGTGAGAAATTGCCGATGGTGAGGTGACCATTTCATTTGTTTGGAGGGAAGAATTTATTAAGTCAATGAACTCTTCAAAAATTGTTGAAGCAAGCTTGGTGGAATTATTGGCACCTTTAAGCCATTCCTGACACGGGCAAAAATCTAGACATGCAATAATGCTAGCTTTAGAATATCTGTCAAGCAGCTTGCTGTGTCGGGAATATATATTGAACTCTTTGGCTCTTCAAAGAGTGACAGAGCAAGGGAATGCCAAGCGGAGACTATGGCAAACACGTTAAAGATATAACGTCGTGTGATGACATCTATTATTTTACCACTATGGCATGATGTACAGGCACATTATCTATAGAAAGATTCAGTAAATAGGTTCAAATACATCTAAAATTTCATTAAAAGAAGATTCTAAAAGAATTTTTTCCTGCCAGCCCGTTTTAAATCCTGCATTTTCAATTTGAAAGCGAAATAGTAAAAGATTGCGGCTTAGACCACAACACTACCTTGGCGGCTGTGGTGTACACTCAAGAACCTCGCTCTCTCGTTCAAATCATGAAAATAAACGTCGCTACTTACGGGTGTCTTAATTTTTAATGGAGACCCAAGCCATGTGATCTCTTCTGAATTGGATGAAATTAGTATATGGAATCCGTTGTTTCTAGATAGGTTGAAAGTAAAAATTTTAAATTTTAAATGAGGCCCAAAAAGAGGCTCGACTGTATTTTGCTCAATTTTTCCTACACAAATTCGAAAATGGTCAGTCTAGCAAGTTTAGTACGATCCAGAGACCAAACAGTAGTCCATGGTGTAGAGCCCAAAAGGAGCAAACCTACTCGTAAGTTCTAAGCAACAAAAATCAGCAGCAAAAGTAATGGCGTCAGTTGACT